TACATAGTGGGTCCTCTATCTTGATTGCTGACCTTAACATTTTTTTTTTATTTCACTCACATGGGTTATAGTATTAGTTAGTCAAATTAAAGATATATTTGAGTTAATCAAGATGTATTATAAATGGATAAATTAGCAATAATTCCGTTTCTAAGGATATTCTGCAATATCAAAAATCGAACATTGATTGTGCAATATTCAAATTTAAACAAAGAAAAAATAAGAGAGAAGACCCTCTCGCCCCCAATCCTCCTTATCCTTTAATATGTCTTGTAAACTTTTGATTCACTCTCTTGATATGCTTTACTTGAAGTTGGAGGTATGTAGTGGGTCTTTCATGCTTTACTGGCTTTATTACATTCTTTCTTTTCTTGTTCTTGAATTTATTCTCACTTTAATTTATTTCCACGCTCCCTCATTATTCTTCCCCAGCAGAACACTCACACGCTATCCTATTTCTCCTCTTTCGCTTTTCTCATACTTTCCCTTTATCTCACAAGTTTCTTTGTCTCTTGTAATTGAACGAACCGAATTGAATTGCCAATTAGTTCAAATTTTAATTTGTGTTACATTAACAATCACAAGTGTTATAGTATTAGTTAGTCAACAGAAATTAAAGTATTTTAGTTAATCTAGAGGTAATACGGGTATTCTGCAATATCAAAAATCAAACATTAATGGTGCAATGATCATATTTGAATGGAGACCAGTGGGTCTTTGGTCCAGTGATATTCCTTATCTTGTAAAGATTTTGTCTTGTTGAAGTCAAGAATTCAAGTCCCCCTTCCCCTTCCCCTTCCCCCTCACCCAAAAAAAAAAATGAATGGAGAGAAATTAATGGAAAAGTAGTGGAGAGAAAGATATGGGAGGATTAATGAGATTGTCTGGTATTGAGGAGTGTCTTGGTATCTGATATTGGGGGCCATGCAAAGAAGATGATAGTTTTGGGGCAGAAAAAAAAATTTTGAGATGAATTTTATACCTTTTGATTAAAATATATGAGAATTAGATCAATCTAGACCGTTGTTATGCTTTTATAATTTGAGAATTCAACTTTCTAACTATAATATTATATAGATATAAAAAATAAATATTAAAATTAAAATAATTTATGGACAACAAAATTGAATAATAATTAGTTACTAGTAAAAAATACATTGAAACAAAACAACACGACCCTTCAAAATTAAAACATGGATTAGTTATCTATATTAATATTCCTTATAAATATCTACTCTCTTAAAAGATTTTTGATTGACTAAAGTGCTTTTGTTAAAAAATTTGCCAAATTATTTATTATCTGCTAACACATAAAGACATAAATATTCCTTTTTACTTGTAAATGCCAAGCACTTAATAAAACAACTCCAATTTAGTAATAGAACAATCATAAATATCAGTTCATCTATCCCTATATACATATAAACAAAATATGCATAGGGATTATAAATAAAAATAATAAATATATTCTAAGAAAATCAAAACTTACAATTGCCAATATGTTTAATCATTCAATACATTAAGACAACACTACGGTTCTAAATTAAAATATATTTTGTTTTGTCAATGACCATATCGATATTTATTACATCTAAATGTCTATTATATTAAAAAATTACAATTGACTAAAATTTTATTATTAAATTACGTATATCCACATTTTGATTCTTTAATAACTCAAAAGGACTTAAATATCCTTTTATTCAACCTAATAATAACACATATTTTATGTTCTTTTTATAGATTTCACGAAAAATTTTATTATATAATTTTTTTAATGCATGCGGTGTACTGCTAGTTGTTTGTGGAATAATAGTACACCCATTTATTTGTTAATTGAAGAGTCCACAATTGAAACCACTGATTAGAAAACAAAACGCTTTACTCTTGAAACGGGTTATTAAAGTGAGAATTATTTTGGAGACAGTGATGGAGTGGCAAGCCCATGCACAAGTTCTTTGATTGTGTGTCTTTTGACGGATTATTAAAAGGTTTGATTGGTGTTTTGCTTGTAGACAATGACCACAAGAGACAGTGAGAGAGTGTGTTTGGTTACACATTAAGACGAGAGAGAGAGATAGATCAGATCAGTGATGCCTATCTACTTTTTTCTCAGAAAGAGAAGCAGCGAGGGGGGGGGGGGGGGGGACGATTAGTGATGCTTATCTACTTTTTGACCTGGAAAGAGAGGGATGATCAATGCTTACTTGCTTGCTTGATGGTAATTGCACTTTTTAATGAGTGAGAGAGAGAGAGAGAGGCAAAGAGAAAGAAAGAGAGAATATTGATGCGTGAGACCCCTTCCAGCAACATTTTTTTACCGGTGGTCTTTTTTATCTTTATTAGATTTGATTGTGTCCCTTCCTCACTCTTTTTCACCAGTTGTTTCCTTTTTTTGTTTCTTTTTCTTTTTCGGATCATACAACTAAGGTTTTTTTTTTGGTTAGCTTAACTTACAAGTTTTTGTTGGCTTCAATTTGTCCAAGATTAGAATAAGCAATATTGTTTAGACTTAATTTATCGAGGGCATCGTGACATTTGTTAAGAACCGCAACTAATTCGATAATTGTTATGAATTGAGTCAATAAATTAAGTCTAAATAATATTATTAATTTATATTTTCTCTCTCTCTCTTTATATATATATATATATATATATATATATATATATATATATATTAGTCATAACCCATGTCTGAAGATACAATGAAACATAAAATTCGAACATTTAAAAATTCGATCACACTATATTAAATTTTTTCAACATGTGTATATTGTCATATATGGATAATATTTAAAATAAAAATTATGTTAAATTATAAATTAATTAAATATTAAATAATTGAACATGTGATACAATTGAGTGATGTGATATTTTTAGGGGAAAAAATATATAAAGGATAAAAATTCAAGTTACTATATGTTTTATTTTATATATATATACCATATTACTGTTTATGTTGCTGATTTTGTGAGCATGTTACTATTTTTGTTGGGCATTATACTGTTCATATTATTATTTTTGTTAAATATATTATTACTATTATTTTTTCAAATATTAATATTCAATGCTATTATTTTTTTGTTTTTGAATATTATTGTTTTTTTGTATTTAAATGGTACTATTTTTTGTATTTGAATAATACTACTTTTTTTTTAGTGTTACTATATGTATGTATATATATATATCTATATAATAAAGTAACTTATAATTCAAATCTCAAAATATAAACAAAATGACTTTTGTTATTCACGGTTGAGATCGTTTTAAATTTTATTTTAAAGTTAATCTAATGACTAATATTAAAACTTCAAATTTAATAGAAAAAAATAGGTCTCTAAGAGTGTGTTTGAAATAATTTTTTCAAAGTGTTTCTAAAAATTATTTCTCATAAGCACTTTAAAAAAAAATATATTGTTTTGAACCGTTCTATCACTACCTCTACCACCACCGCCGCCACAGTCACCGCCACCCCCCGCCACCGTCACCGCCACCACAATTATTATTGTCTCCTACCACCACCACCACTACTGCTCACTATCTCTCACCCCCCACTACAAACCTATGTTTAAATTTTTTTTATCTCTTCTCTATATTTGCAATTGAATTTTAGATATAAATACAAATATATTTATTGTTTACTATTTTTTATTATTTTGTACCTTCAGGCACAGACAATAACTAATCATTTTATATATGGGTATAAATAGATATGATAAAGAAAGAGTTTTAATATTAATCAAACTCCTAAAATTTAAGAATCGTTAGTTTTCAAATTTCTTTTAATTAAACAAAACGAGTAAGGTTATTTTAGACAATAGAGATCAAAAAGGACTTAATATTAAACAAATTTTCCTTAATAGACTTATCACCAAATAAATCCACAAAGAAATATCGGTCTTCAAATTTCCCTTTAAAAAAAATAGTTCGATTCACTGCCATAATTTCTCAGGCCCAGGATTTAAACCTTGATACGTAATATAAAAATTTTAATATTCAACCAATGATCCACTACAACATTCCACCCTCCCTTATTTGTATTTTCTGGCACACTTAGCCAACCAACCGAAGAGAAAAAATGTGGGGGATCTACCTCCCCATTTGGGTACTGCTCTCATATGGTGCTTCAGCTTATATGGGGGTGGGGAGACGACTCTTTTTCCGATGTGGGACAGAGATAAAGGCTACTAAAGGTGTTTGATCCGCAGGTTAGCCGAAATCCTTTGATAGAGAGCGAAATATCCCCAGTAATGGAGAGAATTGCTCTTGGAGGGAGGTATATCCCCAGTAATGGGGAGGTAGATCCCTCACAAAAAACTTACCAAATACTTTGGAGTTTGAAAATCATCTTTTTAGAGGAAATGTGATCCCCTTATAACCTGTAAATGACTATTTGCTGATGGCATGTAGCATGAGACATGACTTTATGGTAAAGGGGTATAGCAACAGCTTCACATGGCATATTTTGCTTCTCATCCAGTTAAATAGCCTGAACATTGTACATTGCCTCTGGCAAGTCACACAATGATTTCCTAAAATGACATCTGCTTGCATATATGACTTCGACACACATCCACATGAGAGAAAAATCGCTTTTACAGTTGACAATATTTTCCGTCTCATCTTGCATACTCGCTATTTTGTGAAATTTCACCTTTTTCAATGCTCAACCGGAAACACAAAAAAACAAACCTGATATGTTCACCAGGAATACTCCATCCCTAATGTCCACCAATTGTGGTCAGCCTTTTTACGGTCTCCTCTTGTGAAGATCTCCATTCACACCCTCCCTACATAGGAGAACGACTTTTTTGGATTGATACAAGTAAAAATGTTTCTCTCCAAAAATGCACCATCAACGTTTTATGTCGTCAAGACTTACTAGTCGCTAATGACACAATCACCGATGAGGAGTGAGAAGCAGGGCTTCAATGCCCCGTGGATATGGACTATGATGCTGAGTGACTTGTGGGCAACAACGAAATTCATGCCCTTCGTAATCAAATCAAGTCGTAACGACTGAGAAATTGAATTATGCAGGGATATACTTGGTCCACGGCCTGCATTTCAAGATAGAACCAAAGTCATCACAAACCAGTGTTTATAATAATTATTAAAGAGGACACTCCCAACTGCAAGAAGGAAAAAATAAACAATACACGTACCAATTGTCCTCCCACCAAATCATAATGAGCGTAATGAGGACCATCAGGTTCTCCAAATATTTTATATGTGACCAAATGCTCAGGAATGAGATTCACGGTTTCTGTTTCAAAACAATACCAAACAAGAAGAAAAATAAATATATGAACATGCATATACAAGTGTGTGCCTGTGTGTGCAGATTTGTGTGTCCGGTCAATCAGAGGTATGTATGTGGATTTCTAGTTGTATCATACCATATACAGCTTCAGGTGGGCAAATTAGGTCTCGATCTCCAGCAATTGCTAAGACAGGGACATTGCTTTTATGGAGATGATCCTTGTAGAAGAATGTACCACTTCTGTCACATAGTCCACCTTCTCGAAAAGCTGTGGTCAGCTGCAATATAAGTTTAGCAGGTATAGTACCTGACAGTAGGGAAAAAACCATACTTCTGTCAATAAACTGTCACATAAAAAAGGCGAGGGGAAGCTGCACAAAATATCTCATGCTGGTAACCCAAAAAAAGCCAGATTTCCAGGAAAAAACTTTGTGCAAGAGAAGAAAATAGTTGGAGTACCAAATATGATGAACCACAACACAAGATCTTCAATTGGATAATTAGGTATTGACTGCGTTTGGATTTCTACTCAATTGAAAGACCCAAAAATGATCAAGGGCTTAAATAAAAAGGTCAAATAAATACTCATGGATGCACTAAAAATTATTTTCTTGCACACACAAATTTGCACGTTAAGGAAAATCTATTCGAGTGCACAAAAATACATAATTCAGCATAGTCACAGACTTGCACATAAGAGAACCATTTGAGATCCACAAGCCCACTGTTTCATTTCCATCCCCCTAGATATAGGAACCTATTATCTATTGCTATAAGTAATTTAATCTTTGCTAATGATATCAAACTACCTCCTACAGCCTTTGTCCTGGACTATAATGCCTTCAAGTCTCAAGCCAAATAATACAATCGGAAAACAAGTTTTCTTAGAAAATTACCAAAAACTCCATTTTGCTTTCACTCATCTCTCCATTTCTACACGTTATTTGATGGCATATCTGTCTCAAATGTTCGCAGTATGAGGCTTCCCAATCTGGTCTTGTTGTTCTATCTGCTGATTTTAGGTTGGGCAATTGTTTATTATAAGGAGATGGTTTGGACTTTGGCAAGTTGTCTCTTGTTTGATAACACCTGTGTCTGGTACGTGGTTCCTTATCCATTCCGATCTTCTTTTCACCACTAGAGTAACAATTATGATAATATTTCCTCTTAGGCCCTCATCCATCTCAGCGTACTCATTTTATTGATAACTATGACCATGTTGCCAACAGTTCGGCAGTCTATAATGAATGAGAAGGTGGCATTGTAAGGAACATTACATAGACAGAAACTATGTTTGTAAGTTTTGATGAGTGAAAATAAAAGGAATCAATTCTTCAGGAGAGAAAATAAAAGAAAAGAGAACGAAGCCCTTTATTTGTTTTTGGAAGTTCTACGAGAGAAAAGAAAGGAAAAAGATGTCATAGTCTCTCCCCTTGTTTGAGACTTGATGAGGACAGAAAAAGCAAGAAATAAATGATATTTTTTGTTTTTATAAGAATTATCTTTGTTAGTTCGAAGGACAAAGTTTGAAATCTCAACTTTCTTTTCTCTCCAAATCCTCCCACTTTTGGAAGACAAAAAATATGGGTCAAGGGTTCTCAACTTATTCAATCTCTCTCCCTTACCCCCCACCCCCATTTGAACTCCCAACCTGTCTCTTCCTTCCATTTTTTTCTTTTTTCCTTTTTCCTTTTTCCTTTTTCCACCATATCTTTCAATGCAAACAAGGATCACGTTTCTTTCATTAAACTAGTGGCACCGAAACCAAAGCAGGTTCTAGGGTTCATGCTTTTTGTTCCATGCCTCTCTCCCAATAGATTAATAGGACTAAAAGTTTTGACAAGAAGATTATCAATGCAATCATAAACATCTTGAAGGCAACAAATTCTTTTCTTTTCGTTTAAAATATGGAACTCTGTTCTGAAGCATTCAATTCATTGCCACGGGAGGATAAATACTGGTCTATATTCTCACCTTTAGATATATAACTCAATTATATTGATATTCTTCCGAACATTAGCACAATCATATAGCAACTATATATCCATGCATTCCACGATATGGACAAGTGAACGAGATGACGTTATCCTATAATTAATGCAAAGTGAGAAGCTTATTTGTACTTACAAAAGTTGTTCAGGACGAGCTTCTTTAGCAACTCTGGTTTCATCATGTCCTCGGCTGATATCAAATGATTAAGCCAAGACAAGACATAAGGAGGACGAGATGAAAGAGGATAAGCTGCTGCCAATAATGCTCCTAGGGGAACAACAGGCACATTAAAAGCCTGTGCTGGATCAGCCTGCATGACCAAATGCATTGACATTAGGTTCTCAAGAAAGGTGGTTCGATTTTAAACGCACAGAGATAATTATTGAAGTTGAATGAAAGAACTGATAGACACAAGGAGCTTTTCATCCTCTTACAAGGGGTAAGAGCAGTTTGAGTGATGATTTTGAAGATGTATAATCAAGTGATGATGCCAAAGTAACAACAGCTGCCAATCCAGACTCTCTTCCTTCATAACCTTTACAAGACAACTAAAATTAGGACAAAAATTCACAGTTCCTTTTTAATTTTTATAATAGAAACTTACGAGTTTGCACAGTAAAATTAAAGATGAACTGGAAACAAACTGAATAAAAAATTGGCAAGCACAATATAGAAACTATCTAAAATCACTTCAGCAGATATCAATTATTAACACAGATAAGCGAGGCCAACCGTATTGTAAAAAATATCCAAAATAATACATTTACAGAAACACAAGCAGTAAGTTCATGAAGATGTAACGAATGTTCCTTCACCCACCAGCAGCTACACGTTGTCTACCGACTACAAACAAGACATTGGTCAATAAGTACTAACAAAGATATAGTTTACTACACATTACGACAAAGTGCAGAAAGTAATCACTGGAATGCCTTCAAACATTTGTAGTACAACAACAGCCAATGCAAAGTATTTGCTCACGACTATATTTCACGAATATATACACACATCTAGTCAAACACTAAAAGTTTGAGGCAATCATCAATGAAGATTCATAAATATTGAATCAAGTTGCATCCAAATGCCAGAAGCAACAATTCTGTCATGTCTGGAGTATTTGGGAACGGGCTATCCTAGGGTTAGAAAGCCAACAACCACTGCAGCAACAGTTTAAATGGATACTAGCACCATCATGTAAATTTTCAATTTTCCGGGTAATGCTTTTCAGTTTAAGTGGCTACTAAAACCAAAATGTTTCATTAGGTTAAAGCAAGATGAACGACACATCCAAGTGTATGTACAACAGTAATGACCTTAGGTTAAAGCATGATTGATAACGCAGGCAAGTGCATGTACAATGACACGTGACTATCAAACACAACCAATACAGTTTGGGGAATAATTCACACACACACGCCCTTCTAGAATAGTATGACTTCAGTTAAAACCCCCTGTATTATTAGAAATTTGATGACACCCCCTATTAGTGTTTGTCAATGCAGGGACAAACGAAAATTGTTATTTTTAGAAAATTACCCCTTAGTTATTGTTTTAATTACCCCTTAAATTCTTTTACCTATTATATATATCTTTATAATAAAGTATAAAGAGTTTTGAACCCCTAATTTATGTTGAGCTCTATGCGTCTGATATCATTTTAAAATTGTTGATCCGACGACCTTGTTTGATCCCTATAAGCAACAAATATGGCAATGACACGTCCCAATTACAAGGTGACACGTGGCAAGACCAGGGAAACACCAAAAGCTGAGGTGGCATCAAAGAGGTACCCTCGGGGTTCACAACCACCCACTTCCGCGGTCATCCTACTTCCACGAAGATAACTCTCCTGTGGCAACGGTTGTAGTAAGCACACTGGGCGCAGTCTTGGCAAGGCACCTCACCTACCGTGTAAATAAGACACAAGGAAGGGATCTAGTAACTAACAGAGCTCATATCCCCGAACTATTCTCGACGAGTACCCTCTGATTGGGACCCCTAAAAAGAAACTGGAACCCATTTCTCGGTTGTGCCCAATGGACTAAGGAGGAATTCCCCAGCTCGGAACAATGAAACGTGCCCCCCCCCCCCCCCCCACCCC